GATTTTATAATGTTTGTTTTTATATAAATCACCTTTGTATCAGCCTATTATATTAAAAAATTTCGACCAGTGTTAATTATATTGATGTGTCTTAAAGGCCATTATTTAGTTTTATTTACAAATTTTGGGCAACATAGTTTGTTTGTTTTTACTATTTTCTATTGTTTTGATGATTTACAGAAGTTTTTTGGGGGTATATGGAATTATCTCTCCTTGCAACAAGAATGTTGCTACTGGACTCTTTATCCTATATTAGTGAACAATGCGAAAAACACGTGATCAAGAGTATATATCCTGCTTATCAGCCCAAATCTGAGATGAAACCCCTATTTGCCGATAAACTTAAAGATATTATTAAGTCAAAAAATGTAGAGACAAAGTTCTTTAATGATGCTGCATAGCAGAATAAATGTACCCAATTATCTCAATCTGGGTTCAGAAATAAATCTTCACAGTAGAATAAATTTGGTAAAGGAAGAGGCTTCCAATGCAGTAATCAAAATACATGGACTCAAAACACAAACTGATGGAAACAAAACCAGAATTTTTCTCAACATGATTCCCAATTGCAATCTCACCAGTAAAAAGCAATGTGGGGGCAAGATTAACCTTTTTTCACCAAAGATGGGTCGAAACAATTGGTGAATCGTGGGCAACAAACATTTTAAAATATAGTTATGAACCCACATAGCAAAACTTATCTCTTTTACAACACCAACCATTATTCCATCAAACATTGTTGAAACAAGAAGAATCTTTATTAGGCCAAAAAATAAAAAAACCTTATTGAGCAAAAGATTATTACAGAATTTTTAACAAACATACCATGTTTCTACTCTAATCTTTTTTTAGTCCCAAAAAAATCTAGAGATTTCTGTCTAGTGATAGACCTTCAGCAATTAAATATATTTGTCCTTCATCAAAAGTTCAAAATGGAAAACATTCAGCTACTAAAATCATTATTAAGACCTGGAGACTATATGTCAAAAATCAATATAAAGAATACCTTTTATCACATTCTACTTTCACCAAAGGTCAGACCCCTTTTCACTTTCGACTTCCAGAGTTCATGCTATGCATTTATAGTCTTACTATTTGGTCTAACAACAAGTCCCGGAATCTTCACCAAAATACTGAAGCCAATATCAAAGGTTCTCAGAGCACAAGAAATTAGATTGATCACCTACTTAGATGACATACTAATCTTAGCAAAGTCAAGAAAACTAGCTCTAGAACACACTCACAAGATTTATGGGATGTTAAAATATCTTGGGTTCATAGTAAATGAAGAGAAATCTCAAACCTTACCAGTAATGACAATTGAGTTTCTTGAATTCAAAATAAACTCTCTGAACATGACATTCAAAATTCTGGAAAGAAAGTGAAGGATATCATTTGGGAATGCAGAAGAACGAAAGTAAAAAGAACAATACACATATGAAAACTGGCAGCATTATTGGGAAAGCTGAGTGCTATGACAGAAGCTCTGTACCCAGTGAAGCTTTTCTTAAGAGCCTTACTCAGGGACAAGAACTCAGCTCTGAAAAACAAGGGATAGAGTGTGACAGTCAAACTTTCAAAGGAGAGCCAGCTACAATTGGATTCATGGATACACAACCTATCACTTTGGAACAGAAAACAAGTCAGTATCAAAGAACTCTCTATGATAATCTATACCAATGTCTCCAAATCGGGATGGGCGCAGTGTTAAACGAAGAAGTAATATCGGGAGTATGGAACAATTGAATGAGCAAGAACCACATTAATTTTCTGAAACTAATAGCAGTGAAGAATGCTTTGAACAAATAAACTCATATCAAGAATCAATCTGTTCTAATCAGGAGCAACAATATGACTACAGTGTCATACATAAACAACAAAGGCAGGATATTATCAATACAAATAAGTCTCTTGGCAGAATCATTATAAACAGAATGTCTTCGCCAGCAAATAATTCTGAAAGCTGAATACATACCAGGCTACCTGAATGTCATAGCAGATCAAGCCTCACGTATGAACAAGGATCGTCACAATTGGTCAATAAAACATCAGATCTTTACTCAAATAGAACAGATATGAGGCCCAAGAAATATAGATCTATTTGCAGATTCTAGGAATCACCTGATACCAACATATGTCTCTTGAAAACCAGACCCGAAGGCAATTGCTATAGATGCTTTTCTGCTTCCATGAAAGAGGTGGAAAATCTAGACCAACTCTCCATGGATCCTACTTCACAAAGTATTAAACAAGGTCATCAGAGAACAAGTAACAATCATAATAGTATTCACTTGATAGCTATCAGCACTATGGTTTCCAACACTACTGTCTCTTCTGGATGACTTTTCCAGGTTAATTCCCAAGAACTCAACTATAACAACAGGAGACTATCTACAACACCATCAAATAAAATGGGATCTTTGCGCAGCTCGTATATCAGGTCTCGCCTCATGAACCAGGGCCTTTTAAAGAAAGCTATCAAACTCTACGAAGTAGCATATGACATTAACTAATCAAAAACTGTGTCATCAAATATTAAATACTGGATTTTTTAATATAGTGAAAAACAAACTGATCCTGTTACTTGCTCTCTGAATAACATAGTCAAATTTTTTGAAGATCAACTTAATACCAGTAAAGCCTACAACATGATTGCTAGCTATAGGTTAGCAATTAGTGAAGTCCACGATTAGATAGATCTTTTACCCATAGGTTCTTATCCTACCATCATTAAGGCCATGAGAGATGTTTATAATAGAAATCCACCTAATTCTTATGATGATAATGTTGTGGATTTAACCCCGGCATTCGACAAGATTCATTCTTTTGGCAACAATGAGACAATGAATATCTCTCTTCTACTATGAAAAGTAGCTTTTCTATTAGCAATAACCACAGCTAGTCAACCTTCAGATTTGTCTCAAATCAATTTTACCTCTTGCAAGATAATGGATGAAGGTGTTATATTCTCTATCAAGAATCCTAAAGAACACAAGATCTCTCTTGCATATAGAGAAAATAAACCTCAAACTAAGAATATTTTCATTGGAGACTATAAAGATTTATCTGGCATATCTCTTATAAGAGTAGTAAACACTCTTTTAAAATGAATAGAGTCTTGGAGAACAACAATAGAACAAAAATCATGCCTGTTACTTGCCTCAACGTTAAGCCACAGACCTCCAGCATCATCCACAATCGCTAATTAGATCAAGGAAGTACTTATAAAAGCATCTTCTAATCTAAGGGCTAAAGACACAAAAACATTTGTAGCATTCTACACACAAACTTCTGGCATGGATCTAGCTACTATTCTTGCAATGGGTAACTGGTCTAGTCATAGTACTTATCAGCAATTCTACCAGAGAGGCATGATGTTAATGATTCAGAAGACACAAGTTGTACAAGGAATCTTGTCTTTGGCTAATAGCAATAAAAACTCTACTCCACAATAGCCACATGATCTAAAATTCACTTATGAGTAAAGTTCATTTATTTAAATGTATGAGCAATATGAAATGTATTTGTAAATAGACAAGCGAAGTAAGTGAATCAAAGATCACCACTTCCCACCACAACCCTCCTGCTAATAATAATAATAATAAAAATATATATATAATAAAATAAAATAAAATAAAATAATTAATTACACAACTCTTTCTGACGATTATTTGGACCAACCTTACTGACGAAAAAAAAATAGAAGTGTGCTGGAGTAGAAGCTGAAGTAGACGCATAGTACGGTTTTTATAGAGGTCAACCGGGTTGTCTTGCTTTTTCTTTTGGCTTGGAGACTCCTCTATATATTTATCATGCAAGTTAGAAGCGTTCTTATACAAGATAACTGGCAGGAGAGTGCGCCCTTGTGCAAAAAATTCTAATGGAAGAGGTCTTTCACTTCCGATAATGAAGTTATATATGCACCTGACTTACCTGGAGAACAGCAGACAACTGTTTTAAAGAAGCCTCACACTCTTTTACTTGG